TGCTGTCCGATTTTGGATCAGCCACTGTAGGAGCTGTGTGTGTGTGTGTGTGTGTGCTTGAGCTATTGTTCTCCTCCTCCTCCTTCCTGTTCACTCTCACAGCGCCCCAGCGCTCTCCTGCGACTTTAGGAGTGATACTCTGTGTGTCTCTCTGTGTGTGAGGCATCGTTCTCCTTCTCTTGCTTCCCCTTCACTCTCCCAGCGCCCCTGCTACTTCCAGCGCCCCTGCGACTTTAGGATTGATACTCCGTGTGTGTGTCTCTGTGTGTGTGAGGCATCGTTCTCCTCTTGCTTCCCCTTCACTCTCCCAGCGCCCCTGCGCTCTCCTGCGACTTTAGGATTGATACTGTGTGTGTGTGTGAGAGAGAGAGAGGGGGATCGTTCTCCTTCTCTTGCTTCCCACTCCCAGCGCCCCTGCGCTCTCCTGCGACTTTAGGATTGATACTCTGTGTGTGTGTGTGTGTGTGTGTGTCTGTGTGAGGCATCGTTCTCCTCTTGCTTCCCCTTCACTCTCCCAGCGCCCCTGCGCTCTCCTGCGACTTTAGGATTGATACTGTGTGTGTGTGTGTGTGTGTGTGTGTGTGTGTGTGTCTGTGTGTGTGTGAGGCATCGTTCTCCTCTTGCTTCCCCTTCACTCTCCCAGCGCCCCTGCGCTCTCCTGCGACTTTAGGATTGATACTGTGTGTGTGTGAGAGAGAGAGAGGGGGGAGGGGGATCGTTCTCCTTCTCTTGCTTCCCACTCCCAGCGCCCCTGCGCTCTCCTGCGACTTTAGGATTGATACTCTATGTGTGTGTGTGTGTGTGTGTGTGTGTGTGGCATCGTTCTCCTCTTGCTTCCCCTTCACTCTCCCAGCGCCCCTGCGCTCTCCTGCGACTTTAGGATTGATACTGTGTGTGTGTGTGTGTGTCTGTGTGTGTGTGAGGCATCGTTCTCCTCTTGCTTCCCCTTCACTCTCCCAGCGCCCCTGCGCTCTCCTGCGACTTTAGGATTGATACTCTGTGTGTGTGTGAGAGAGAGAGGGGGGGGGATCGTTCTCCTTCTCTTGCTTCCCACTCCCAGCGCCCCTGCGCTCTCCTGCGACTTTAGGATTGATACTCTGTGTGTGTGTGTGTGTCTGTGTGTCTGTGAGGCAGCATTCTCCTCTTGCTTCCCCTTCACTCTCCCAGCGCCCCTGCGCTCTCCTGCGACTTTAGGATTGATACTGTGTGTGTGTGTGAGAGAGAGAGGGGGGGATCGTTCTCCTTCTCTTGCTTCCCACTCCCAGCGCCCCTGCGCTCTCCTGCGACTTTAGGATTGATACTCTCTGTGTGTGTGTGTCTGTGTGTGAGAGGGATTGTTCTCCTCCTCCTGCTTCCTGTTCACTCCCCCAGCGCCCCTGCGACTTTAGGGCGACTTTAGCATGGATCCACATGGATCCTCAGGATTTTTGCATTGGGCTACCCCAAACTCACCGTCAGATCACATGTCTGTGGCCACAGCATGAACCACAAAAATCATACATCCACTGTTTTGTTTAGAATATTTTTTTCTTGTTTTCCTCCTCTAAAAACTACGTGCGTGTTATGGTCTGGTGCGTGTTATAGAGCAAAAAATACGGTATATTCCATAATAGGGGGCTTTTAAAATGACCTTTTAAAAAGCAATGTTATTCAGTATGCTATACTTACAGTTCGAGTCTGTTTTTCCAAGGAAAGCAAAGTCTCAATTGCTTCTTGAAGCCTTCCATCCTAAAATACAAGAAAAAAGTACTAAAAATGTACCACATATCCAACATGACATTTAACAAACTGAGTTAAATAAGTCGTCCTTATTGTACAGGTTTTGAAGGTAACAGGGCCCAATCATGGCCAAATGAGTCACGGCCATCAGTTAATTGTGGTCACTTCCCACTACAAACTAGAGGATTTAAATACATTGCAAAATATTGTTTTGTTGATTTCAAGTGGAATTAGACTACAATTCTAACCTCACTTACCCAGGAGTAAGCCCCACTGAATTCAACAGGACTTCAGAATAGGACTGCAGTTAGTCATAACTAGACCAATCTTTCTTAAGAGACTTCTAGAAGTTATAAAAGGCTACTGAAGCCAAGTCTTCAGCCATCATTTATCTAGGTAAGTGTTATCAAAAGCTCTTTTGTAATGTATGTACGGTATTCATATACAGTGGTACCTCAGGTTACAGACGCTTCAGGTTACAGAGTCTGCTAACCCAGAAATAGTACCTTGGGTTAAGAACTTTGCTTCAGGATGAGAACAGAAATCGCACAGCGGTGGCAGCGCGGCGGAACCATTAGCTAAAGTGGAACCTCAGGTTAAGAACAGTTTCAGGTTAAAAATGGACCTCCAGAATGAATTAAGTTATTAACCCAAGGTACCACTGTACACAAGAGGAAATTTATGGACATAACTGTTGCTGTCCCTGACTTTTTTAAAAGCAGTGAACACACTCCCAATTTGCCTGGAATTAGCTAGTTTTCTAACTTGGAAGCCTTGTTGCTTAAAGGGGAAGGTGCTGCTATAAGAGAGCCCTGTCACTGCCTATCCTGTTCCCTGTGTTTAGTAGAAATTATGGTAAGCAAATGAAGCTCTACAGTTACTCAGTTGAATCCTGAAGCAACAATCAGTTCCTTCATTCTCACTAGGGTGGCAGAAGGGTAACCGGTCCTTTAACCACCTCAGAGGACCAGCAGCCACAAATTTATCACAGCCCAAGAACAAGTCCAGCTACAATTGCTACTTGCCCTGTTTGCTGGGAGAAGACAGCAGACTAACAGTATCCCAACCAAGAAAAAGAGCAGTGGAGAATAACAACAACAATAATAATTTTAGTGTTTATACGCCGCCCATCTGGCTGGGTTTCCCCAGCCACTCTGGGTGGCTTCCAGCAAAATATAAAAAGAATCACAGTGAAGTAGTGGCAATACTTCGGAGAATAAATTACAGGAGCATCATCAGAAAAATAAGTTCTGAATTAGCTATTTTCACTCTAGAAATTAAAGCCACTATATTGCTTCTTGTACTATTGTCATAAGAGCCCCAGTGCTATTTATTAGAAAATGAATAGAAAATACAATAACTCTCCTGCAGAAATAAAAGGCGCATTCACTCCTCCTTTGGTATCTCCTGTAACTATAATCAATGCAGATTTGCAACAAAACTAAAGGACCATTCTAAACAGTGCAGCACACACCATGGAGTTATGTACATTCAACAAATGGTTCAGAATCATCTTTATTTGCATCAGCCACTAGCCAAAGCAATATGGTTTAAAAAGAGCAACAGAGGTTTAAAAGTAGCCACAAATCTTAGGAAGGACACTAAAGAATAACTTTGCATTGATTACATCTCTCAGGATAACCATAGGCCAGGCATGGCCAAACTTGGCCCTCCAGCTGTTTTGGGACTACAACTCCCATCATCCCTAGCTAACAGGACCAGTGGTCAGGGAAGGGAATTGTAGTCCCAAAACAGCTGGAGGGCCAAGTTTGGCCATGCTTGCCATAGACCTAATATTGGTAACATGCACTGCTCGATGCAGCTTTGACCATGGCTGAAAGCAAGATAAAACAATCCACAGTACACTAGCGGCTTTATCAAATGCAGCAAATATTTGCAACAGTGCACATGTCAACTCGAGACCTGCATCCTTATTCCGATCATCACCTAACTATAGTCGCAAGCTCTCTCCCTCCGTCTCTTTGCCTATTTCCATTCTTCCAAGCTACTCGGGTCCAACATTTTAATTTTGGCCGCAAGAGGCTGTCCCGGTGACACAAAGCTATCGCGACCAGCACAGCCCCTTAATTGATTATTGGGAAGTCTCCCTTGTCCAGAATAGGGGTGGGGAGCGCGAAATGGAGCAGCTTCATCCCGGTTTTGAACCGCAAATGTCTCTCGGATTGTGCTGCGGGGGGAGCCACTTTCTGCGGCAGCCCCCTTCCCCAAACATGCATGTCCCTTTCGCAAAAGGATCCTCCCGTGTGGCTCCAGCCGCCTGAGCAGGGGAGGAAACTGGACCCGTGACGATCAGACCGTCGTAGCCATCAGGCCATCCCCGGGGGCGCCGCGGCTTCGCCCAACGCCGGCGACCCCCTTTCCCGAGCGCCCTCCCACCCGCGCCGCCGTCCTCCCTTGGCCGGACGGCGGCGACCTTCCCCTCAGGGCCCAGCTGCCGCCGGCTGTGAGCGACGCGGCCTAGGCCGGCCCGCCGCGCCATGACTCAGCCCCTCCTCGGCCCAGTCCCTCACCCGGGCCATCTGCTCGCACTCGGGCAAGCGCTGGTCCACGGTGGCGCTGTAGTCCACCTCCATCTTCACAATGCGGCCATCGGCCCGCTCCGCGTCGCCGTCCGCCATGCTGGGCCCGCGTCCGGCACCGAGTCTCCCGCAGCTTCTTCACAGGCAAAAACCGCTCGCTTGGTCTCCCTCAGAGAGAGAGACACAGACACTGACTCACCGGAACCGGAAACCCTTAGGCGCATAGGCGCTTACAAAGACAGCTATCCCGGGAGGACCCCTCCCTTTCCCAGCTCTGCTCTGAGAAAAGAGCAGCAGCAGCAGGCACTGCGGTAGACACCTAAAGCGGGCTCGGCGGTTCTTCCCGCCTCGAGTGATGGGGTCCTTCTTCAGGGTGAGAGGAGGAGGCCGAGAAGCCGGAGGTGAAAGCTGAGGCGTTTGAAAATGCCCCATGGGACACTTTTTTATTTTTAACCCCAGTAAACTGACATCCCCTGAGACACAAGCTGCTGCTAATAATGATAATAATAATAATAGTAATAGTAAAAATAATAATAGTAGTAATAATAATAATAAATTTATGCACTTCAGTGGTAAAAATAAGTAGGTATATTGGGATTATTATTAGACCCAGGTACTTTTGATGGACAAAAGTTTCATCGTGTTTTTAATATTCTGTTGAGGGCCGCCCAGAGCGGCTGGGGAAACCCAGCCAGATGGGCGGGGTATAAATAATAAATTATTATTATTATTATTACAAAAAGAGAATTTTCAATGGCAAGCAGTTGGAAATTTGAGGAGACCGCTCGCTACCATGCCATCTTCCAGAGAGGCTTCATTGTGCAACCTACGCTCTGTAAAAAAACCCACAATGAAAGCACCCTGGGTTCAGGAATGATGTTGGCCGTTCTAAAGTCTTGTCAGACGGGCTACTTGGAAGGAAAAGGTTAAGCCTGCTTCTTTTATTATTGAAGGCCTTGCTCGTTTTCACAAATGAGGGCAACGAGAAATGCCCTGTTCTGTTCTGGATATGGAAACTCTCCGCCCCCAGAGTGCCCCACTGAAATGAATCGATTATTATTTTTATTTGAGTCGTTAGATTTACAGTATATATAATCGAGGATGCGGCTCGGTTAGGCACTTTGATTTCAGGGGGTCTGTGAGGAAAATCCCAACACTTGCCATATACTCTAAAGAGCCTCGCACTTGTCTCGGTGACACATCACCTGTTCCGAGTGCAAGAAATTCCCATGTCAATTCCTGGCAACCCCCTCGGGTAGGACTGGGAAGGGCCCTTGTCTGAATTGTTCTTAATCATGGTGACAATACTGTGGTAGACAGACTCTGTTAAGGCTGCTTCCTAGGTTCCTAATCAGCGTCATAAGCAGTGTTTTTTTGTTTTTTGTTTGGCATGCCTAGACAGGTACAGGAGGGTCCAATGGCTGGGAACGTGCTGTTCCACTTGTACTTTGCTGCTGCGCATGATAGTCCTTGGTTCAGTAATGAGATGAAAAGACGCCAGAGCACGAGAAGTTTCACAAGTGGTGTAGGTAAGGTACACCACACAGATTTCATACACACCACTTACAATCCATTTGCACTTCCCCTCCCGGATTGCATGTGTGAAAGGCAGAAATGCAGTTTGAAAAGCTCTCATGTGAGATTTCTGGGGTTCCGGGCTTGTTTCCCAGGGTCTGTGTTTCCTTTTGAGAATGAGACATAGAGGAGACTGTGGTGTCTTTGTGATATATGGTTTATTTACACATATATACAACCTGAGCCTATGATGGAGGGGTTCACAGCATTAACTCCCATAAGAGGGTCTTGCTTTTCCCGTAGACGCAACTATTGAAACAGAATCACAGAATTGTAGAGTTGGGAGGACCCTGAGGGTCATCTAGTCCAACCCCCTAAGCCATTCCTCTAGATTGCTGACTTTAACAGCCTGCAACCTCCCACCCCCCACCCCCGCATCCAGCCCACTTTAAACAAACCCTGCCTTTTGTTCTTCTAAGTAACTCTGAGCTGAAGGAAGGAGGGCCCCCTCCCATTTGTTGTCTGGCACATGATCCCTTCTCATTTAGCTTTCCTACTGGCCCATTACCTTCCTTTTGTCTTCCAAATGTTCAGTCACCCCAGGCAATTTCCTGATCAAGAAACAGGCATGGCTTAACATTTGCCTTGATTAAATTCTAACCCCTACTGGACCCAGAAATTTGGGGGAATCTGGTACCCACAAACCCCTAACAGTATGTTAAAACTGAGTTTGCTAGACTTGACAAAAAGGGAAGTTACTGCTTAAGAATATCTTACTCCTATTTATAGTTTATGATTATTTTAATACTGATAGTATCTTGTCTTGCTAGCCTAATCCTGTTTACAGTCATACCTCTTGTTACGTTTGCTTCATGATACGTTTTTCAGGTTGTGTCCCATGGCAACCTGGAAGTACCGGAAAGGGTTACTTCCAGGTTTCGCCACTTGCGCATGCGCAGACACGCAAAATGACATCATAAGCATGTGCAGAAGCAGCGAATTGCAACCTGGGCAGACGCGGGTTGCGTTCCATTCAGGTTGCGAACAGGCTTCCGGAATGGATCCTGTTCTCAACCAGAGGTACCACTGTACTCAGTATGTTTAGTGGGGCTTTCTCCCAAGTGTTTGTGTGTAGTGTTTCAGCCTTATTTATCCAATCATAGCAGTTAAATGATAAAACTGAGTGGATTTGTAAGCTACTTTAGTGCTTGTTTGTGAGAGCTTTTCCCTGTCTTTTTTGTTGCTTTCCTTTCTTCAGGGAAGTAGGAATGTTCTTGTAGTTAAAAACATATTACAGTGGCAACTCCTTTAAAAGGAGGGGGCAAAACTGCCTGTTAGAATATCCAAGATATTAAAAACCACATTCCTTGGTTTTTTGTCCCCGTCCCCCCCAGCTTTGAAAAAATGTTCAAGTCTTTGGCTTTCTATTTCTTTGCCAAAAAACATACATTAAATTTATGTGGTGGTTCTGCTTTGCAATTTATTAGTATAATCTACTTATTTTCTTTACAAACTTCAAGGTCAGGTTTGATGGCAATTCTATTTCACTTTACTACTCTGTTGCCCATAGTAACATAAACCTGTATAACCTGACCAGTAAAGTCCTTGTAAGGTTAAGATACTGATCTATGCAGAGATAAGCTTAAGCCTATTAATTTCTGTATGGGCTCAGAGTGTAACTCTGCTTCATTCTTCACAGCCTGTGCCAGAGTAGATATAAATCAATGACTTGAAAGAATAATACATCAGAGATTTTTATTTAAATTGGATAATTAATTGCAAATAATTTACTGCTGTGTTTACAGTTATATATATATATATATATATATATATATATGGGACAATTTGGTTATTTGTGTTATTTTTCTTTTTAATTACGTGGATTTATTGTTACTATTAATAATTTATTTATTATTCACCCTTTATAAGATCCCAGGACAGGTTACGGCATTAAAACACAATATAAAACAATTTAAAACCACTTCCAACCATAAAAATAAGGTGGGTCCTAAAAACATACACCTCAAGTGTATGAATTTACTGGCAGGCAGATGATGTGTATTTGTTTTTCAGTTTCGAAACTGCTGTGAGAACCTTGTATGGATAGCAAAATGAAAGATTTTAAAATAAATGTTTAGTTGCAAACTTCTTTGGTCTCTAGGGTGCTACTGGACAATTTTTAAATTTATTTCAACTTCATCAGACCAACACGGCTACCTACCTGAATCTAGAAGTTTTAATTGTTAGCACAATCACTTAGTGTGCATGCTTGTTCAGAAAATAAAAAATAGCTAAAACTTGATTTTAATATTTAAGGACTCCTTCCTGATGACCTTGAGGCTGTTACTCCTATGTCTGCAAAGTTGTGCATAAAAAATAAAGTTAAATAGTGGGACCTTTCGGTAACCAGATATCAATTGCCGAACTGCCATTTTTGCCGTTTTATTCTGTTAAATCTCATTGTGGTCTTCCTATTTTGTAAAATTTTCTGTTGGCACAAAGAGGAATGCATTTATTGATGAAATTTCAAGCTATGCTCATAGCATATTTAGAGAGAAGGAAATATAGTGAAATACCTTGTAAAACCATTGTTTTTGTATTTGTGGCCAGGCAGAGGGAGGATATTGTTCCTTATGTATTATTTTGTTCCCTTTATAATTTCCTTGGGAAAGGTTTTTGAAAGAAATTCTTGAGACAATTTTATGTTGTTTTTAACAGCAGGGAGAAAATCTGTTACTTATTGGTTGATATATTAAAAATGAGATTTCCGTAAAATACTAAAATAGATTAATATTACCTTAACATTCTAAGCATCTGGGTGAGTTTTTCTAAGCAAGAATGTTTTTATTAGGCACCCAAAAGAGTACAATGAAGGCGTCTGCTTAATCTCAATAGGCAGAGAGTTCTAAAAGGCAGGTGCTATCACACTAAATAATCAAGTGCTTACAAATATGGAAAGGGTACAGTGTAGAAGTGCCAATTCCTCCAGTCACAGCAATTACTTTAAGTCCAGCCCAAGATACTTTGCTGTCTGAGGCAAAGGACAAGATGTCCTCAACTGGACTGGCAGTTGAATCTTAACTTCAGCACTGTCAATAAGATAACATTCTCTGGTGCACCTGCAGGCAGCAGGCCAAAGATTGCATTTTGGCTCCTTGACTGTTGAGCTGTCGAGTGTCACAAGACACTTCTATCCCCAGTGCTCTTTAACATCTTTATGAAGCCACTGATGATGATTATTAGGACAGGCATAGGCAAACTTGGCCTTCCAGACGTTTTTGGGACTACAACTCCCATCACCCCTGACCACTGGTCCTGTTAGCTAGGGATGATGGGAGTTGTAGTCCCAAAAACGTATGGAGGGCCGAGTATGCTATGCCTGCATTAGGAAATTTGTTGCAGTGTTTCCAGCAAGTTGATGCTCACAGCTCTGTTCCTGTGAAATGCCTGAATCAAGTGTGGCTGTACATGTGTGGAACCAGTACCTGGAAATAGTAATGGCCTGGATGAAGGCCAATACACTGAAGCTGAATCCTGACGAAATGGAAGCCCTATGAATGGGTAGTTCCTGAGTTTGGGATCTTGGTTGGTTACCTGTTCTGCAGAAAGTTGTACTTCCCCAGAAGGTTTAGGTACATCGCCTGGGGATAATAATAATAATAATAATAATAATAATTTTTATTTATACCCCGCCCTCCCCAGCCAAGGCCGGGCTCAGAGCGGCTTACAAGCAATAATAAAAACAAGTTGAATGATTACAACTTAAAAACAAAATTAAAATACAACATTAAAATATTGAAACATATTTGCTCCTCCATCCATTATTATCACTGGAGAGCTAAGTGGGTAGGAGTGCCTTTATCCACATTCAGCCGGCGCGTGACCTACGAACTTCCCTGGAATGGGATAACCGAGCTGTAGTGGTTTATGCAGTGGTAACCTCAAGATAATCGCAGCACTAAATATGGATCTACCCTTAGAATTAGTCCGAAAGCTGCAACTGGTACAAAATGTGACTGCTGGGCTGCTTTGTGGAGCAGCCTAACAGCAACATGTGATAGCCTTGTTCAAGTAATCAGCACTGCCACTGTGCTATCGGCCTAGGACTTGCCGATCAGAAGGTCAGCGGTTCGAATCCCCGTGACGGGGTGAGCTCTCGTTGCTCAGTCACTGCTCCTGCCAACCTAGCAGTTCGAAAGCACGTCAAAGTGCAAGTAGATAAATAGGTACCGCTCCGGCAGGAAGGTAAATGGCGTTTCCATGTGCTGCTCTGGTTTGCCAGAAGTGGCTTAGTCATGCTGGCCACATGACCTGGAAGCTGTACGCCAGCTCCCTCGGCCAATAAAGCGAGATGAGCGCCGCAACCCCATAGTCGGCCATGACTGGAGCTAATGGTTGGGGTTCCCTTTCCCTTTTATATGCCCCTGCCTGAGCACCGCAGCCTGCTGGGGAATTGGTGGTGGAGATGCTAAGTGGGGTAGTTGGCAGCTGCTTACCCCCAAGCCTTGGGTTGGGTAATCCTTACCCTTTATCAAATAAGCACCAAATTTGTACATCTTTAGGTGAAAGCTTTCTATCTTGCCCAGGCCTTGCCAGACAGAGGTTGGATTGTATTTCGCCTCCATACAGTGTTTACTCAGCTATGCATTTGTAACTGTATTTTGCATTTGAAACTGGATCTTATTGTGGCTTGTGTATTTGATGATTTTGTGTAAGATACTTAGCTATTTCAGTTTGAAGCAGTATATAAATAAATAAGGAAATATTTTAGGGTTGGTGTTGCAGGCCTATGGGACATATTGCTTGGATCTTCAACAAAGGGGAGTGGCCGGGGGGGGGATGCAAGAGAAATGGCTGAGAGTCTGCCACTGCGATTGGTGCTACTTTGGAGCATTTGCCGACTGGGACAATTGCTTCACCCCCTAGTGATAGGCCCTCCCTGTTTAAATTGGCATTTTCAGTGATGATTTTGAATAGCTTTGATTTTCATCAGCTCACCCCAGACTTTCCCTAT